TTCAAACAAAAATAAACTAGAAAAACAGGAGCTATGTCAGATCACTTTGCAGTATCAAACAAGATAATGCTGACTGGGGAATATGTTTCACCATTATTAGTCTACATTAAATTACTATTTGTAAATAAGCAGATTCCTTTCAAAAAGCAAAATCTAATTTAGTCAGCATTTTAAGAATATTCCTTAAGTATGGGTTACATGTAATCTAGTTTTCACACCTGCTGAGTATTAAGAAATCATTTGGAAGATAATAAGTATAATTTAATTCATACATTTGGGCATTTTATTTATCTAAAAAAAACAGGCTGCTATTAAATATTGACAATTTTATTAACTCAGAGCATCTAGGGAAAACACTTATGATTAAGTTAATTTATGTTATATTTTCCCCTCAACTTGTAAAAGATTAATCAACCATTTTATGGTGTAATTGAGGTACCTAATTAAAAACAGAGTTCAACACATGCTACACAATCTTCCTAATAAATCCTAACAGCATTGTAACATGATGGTTTGTATTCCAAATTGTTGCATCTAAATGTAGATTTCTGACCTTCTCCCAGCAGCCTGGAAGTGAGCTGCATATTTGGTCTTATCTTAGGTTGCCTCCAATGAAGTCAGAAACAGGGTTGGCCACCAAGTTTTTAGAAATAGACTAGGAATATGGGGGGTAAAGGGGATTTCTCAACACTCACTAAATTAAAAATACAGAGGAAATTGCTGTTTTCAGATGTCTTGGAGAGAGACCTTTATCATTACTGGGTTTTAGAATCACAGCCTAAGGAAATCTCAAAGTTCTAGCTACATCTGCCTTCAGATTAATGAGCACAAAGTAATTTCTGGGTCTTCCTTGACTTGAAAACATTCTTTTTAAATGAACAAATTAATTCTAAGGAGTCTGGGAACTTGTCACTTACCCTATGCCTCCCAACCTTAAAAGGGCAAATGGCATTGAATAAACCTCTTCCTTGGATGGACATTGGCTGTTTTCTTAGCCACTATACTTGAGGGATATTTTTGTCATTTTAATGACTCCTTTGATTTTTGATCTCCTGTGCAGAGAAATAAAACTGTCAGCATGGTGTGATTATCCTCACTCTAGTTATGAACCAGCACAGGATAGTTCTAAGTCAACTGTTTGGGAGTCAATGTTTTTAACATAAATGACTGACGAAGTAGACAATCTGGACTGAGGTCACAGGTGGCGGGCAGGAAACCTTCAAATTCTTAAGTAAACACCATTTTGAATCATTACACAAGACTTAACATTATGTTTTGGTCACTGAAGTCAAGGAGCCTGGCACAGAATGACCTGGTGGGATAGGACTCTTCTACTTTCCTGCTGTGAGGACCTTGAGCAAGTTGCTTAACCTCTCCATGCCTGTGACTCCTCATCTGTAAAAGTACCCACTTCACAGAACTGTAATGAGGATAAAACTTGCTAATCCTGTAAAACCAGTACCTAGCACATTGGGAAAATAGTATAGTTTAGCTATCAACATACACACACACACACACACACATACACACACACACACACACACAGAGTTTCATGTTGGCCACAGCACTGACTTGCTGTATAACCAAAAATGAAAAGAGAAGTCAGGGTGTGAAAGGAGTTTCCACCACTGAAAACTCTAAGGTATATGTCTGTGGAGCAAATAATCACACAATGCTGGACTAAATTCCTAAACTGAGGCCGTCATGGTTCTGAGTTCATGGAATGCTACACAACTTAAAAGGGGTCAAAAAAAAAAATCTTTTAAAATGCATCATTAATGCTTACCCACCAGTTAAAATCAAGATGGCAAGCCTGAATGTTCTGGGTGGATGCTCAGTATCTGAGTGTAGTAAGTTCTCCTGTCTCCTAGCCCCAAACCTGACACCATCACACAGGTACAGAAGGTAAAGTCCATTTTTACCAGATGGCCGGTGAGCCCCTCCAAGTGGACATCATCAGCACTTACTAGGTTTGGAGCTGATTGGAGAGCCTAGGGGACAGCAACTAAAAAGCTGCAAACTTGATATCACAGAAACAAACTGGGGTGCCAACTGTCGCTGGAATTGGCCTTTTGAATTTTGCAGACTAGGGCACAGCAAAGACTCCTAGTGTCTGGGCATCTGGGCATGGGAGTGGGGTGGTCTATCACCACCAGAGGTCTGTCACCTGGGCAGGTTCTGGCCTCCCAGTGTCCCTGCTCATCTATGGGTAGATGGGCCTATTGGTGTGCGTTTCAGTGGTAGCCAAGCAGAAGATACTACAGTCAAATTTCCTGTGGTCCTGCGAATCCATCAGGCCCTGGGTCACATGTTAGGCCCCATGGGGAACTGTGTACCAACCCACTAAACTCGCTCACACACAACTATGACCTGCAGCTAAACTCAATTGCCTGCAGACCCTAGGCTCAACCATCCGTTCCCAAACCCCTCCTATTTTGTCTCAGATGCCTTTAAAATGTCTCCGCTCGCTCCAGCTTTGAGGACTTGTTTTAATCATGGCTCTGCCTTGCAACTCTGGTTAATTATTATTTATGCTGTTCTCCAATTGACCGCCCACCTCCCGGCAGAGCTGGAGAGACCCTACAGACCGGGTCTGGTGTGCGGCAGGGCTCCGTGAGTGAGTCGGGAGACTCCCGCCTGGAAGGGAACCAGGCCGGGGATTTTAGGCGTCGCCTTGCTTGTTGGGTTTAAAGTTACAAAGCCGCTTTCAAACTAATCTTTAAGTCCATACGTTTGCTCAGGCATCCAGAATAGTTAAAATGGTTTAAAGGTTTGAATTCAGCAGATAGACTTAAAAAGAATTTTTTTTTCTTTAAAAAAAAAATCCACTAACTCCGTGGTCACGCCTGGCCCTGAAGGGGACAGTCCGAGAACGCCGCGCTCATACCACTTGCCTCCGGGTCATCACCTCAGGCCCTGTGTCTCCCGGTGGCGACCGAGGAACGAGGACCCAGGTGTCCCGCGCTCTGGCGGAGCCCGGGCGGCGGGCAGACCCCGTCACTCGCGCGGCTGCTCGCCGTGCCGCTCCGGTTCGCCGTCCCTGAGCGACACTTCCAGGCTGCGCGCCCTACGGCCGGCGCCAGAGTCAGGGCTTCCAGCGCCCAAAGGACTGTTGGCAGGAGGAGGCGGCCGCCTACGAGACCAGGAGAATCTTCCTGTGGGCATTTGCACAGCCTGCACAGGTGCTTCTGAAAGCGCCTGACCCCAGCTTGTAGTTACTGGCCTGCCATCTCCTCCAAGCGGGTCCCAAGTGGATCAGATCTCAGAAAACCCCGGCTGCCTAGGGTTTGACTCAGGGAGACAGGGATGTAGAGATTAAGGTCGTTAACATCATTCCAGGAGGATGATTGTGTGTGCGTGCGTGTGTGTGTGTGTGTGTGTGTGTGTGTGTGTGTGTTGACATCAATACAATAGATTTATTGGCCATTAACTCTTTTACATTGCCATTTAGAAGACATCTTTCTGTGAATGTATCCTTCCACTGTAGGTGACTTTAGCCTCTTCTTTTCAGGAATCGATGACAATACCCAACACTTAGCTACCCCTCCCCATGGCAGACGCTGCACCTGACCGCACCCCGGCATTCCCTCTTCCCAGCCCTGTTAGAACTCGCGTTATTCCCAGCGCTCGGATAAGTACCCAAGTCCACAGGACTAGCCAGAACGAGAGTCTCGGGTTCGCACTCAGAGTCCCCATTCTTAACCCGGGGAGTCCTGGGAATGGTCAGACCGGAGCTGTCATGACTGGCTAAGCCTAGAGACTTCGGCAACTCCTGGCAATTAGAGGGAAAAGAAGGACAAAAGAGAAGTGGCAAGCGAGGCTGGGAAAGCAGCGGCTTTAATCCGCCGAGTCAGGCTCTTTTTTATTCGCCATGCCATCCAGGTCCTGGAAAATATGGAGACAGGGAGCAGGGTTAGATTCGCGGCTCCCCTTGTTTTCTGAAGTCTTGACCCTCTTTGGAAGTAATTGGGTCTGGCGATGACTTGGAGGGAGTAGCGAGGGCCGGGTGGTGACCTGGAGGATGGGGACCGGGGCCGGGTTTCCGGAGGCTGGAGTGTGACCCCTTCAACTGCTCCCGCCAGAACAGGAGCCCGGGGTGCAGTGGGCAGAGGTCGTGACTATGACCCCGGGGCCTCTGTCCCTTTGGAACTGGACACACATCCCAATTTGAGAACAGAATTTCCGGAAGCCGCGACCTCGAATCAACCCTCATTTCTTAATCAGTGGACGCGGGGTATTCTTTGTGCCCGGACATGTACCGGGTCCGCGGAGACAAGCATGTTGTCCCTGGCCTTCCCAGCACAGGGGACGAGGCCACGTGTGGGCAGCGCCCTGGGCGCCCAAAAGCCTTCAAAGCCGCGGCTGCCGGCTGCAGTGCGCGCCTTTGCCCGACAGGGACCAGCACAGTTCCATGCTCCGTGAGCCGCAGCCACCCGGCCATCCTCCCTCTCAGCTCACCCTCCCGAGCGCAAGCCGCTCGCCAGCCAAGCGGGTCGGACCCCCTTCGGGTTCCGGTAACAAGGACTGTAACAACAGTGAAAAAAAAAAAGTTAACCGACTCTCAGCGACCTAGGCGGGGCGCCGCCGCCGCCGCCCCCGCCCCCTCTTCCCATCTGTGTAGCAGAAGCAGCTTGTAGAAGTTGGAGCCGGGAGGAGGCGGCGACCCGGAGGCTCACAGTTCTCCCTGCATCCCTGGCCGAGAGAAAGAAGATAAAACCCTAGCCACTGTGGAGTAATTCGAGTGTACTCCGCTATGGTTAGAAATGGCCCCTCTCCCTTCGAGCGCTGTCCCGGTAATCACCCCTCTTCTTTGCAGCGAGGTCCCATGATTGATTCTAGGGCGCAATGAACACGGACACGCCGGCGATGGGCGAGTTTCTGTAGGTTGTGGTGGCAGCCTAGCTGGGCGCACCAGCAATGTGAGGACACTCTTCGGTTCCGCCCGCCCCCGGTGGCCCAAAGCTGTTCCCCTACAACTTCCCCCTGGAGAGGAAACTCACCTGTACCAGGCGAGGCCCTTGTGGTAGCTGCGGTCGAAGAAGTGGGGTTCGGCGCCCACAGCGCGCACGTCGGGGTGCACCCGTAAGAACTCGAGCAGCGCTCGGGTGCCTCCCTTCTTCACGCCGATGATGATGGCCTGCGGCAGCTGCTTGCTCCCAAAACCGCTAAAGAAGCTGGAGATGGGGCTAGGGGAGTCCGGCACCTCGGGACTCTGGTCCTCCTGGCTCTCCGCGCCCGGCGTCTTATCCTTGTCCGCAGCCAGTGCGGTGGCGGGCGGCGCCCGGAAAGGCAGCCTGGGGGATGTCACATTCGGAGCTGTGACCAGGGCTGGAGCAGCTTGTGCGGCGCGGGACCCGGAGCCCAGCAGCAACAGTCCGGGCGCCGCGGCGCAAGAGCGGGCGCACGAGTACAGGAACATGTAGAGCCAGACGCAGAGCATGGCGAAGAGCAGCGCGAGCTTCCTCCTCACCAGCGGCGGGGGCGTCGGTGGCTGCGGCAGGAACCTGCAGGGGACATCGAGGCAGGACCGGCCGCCGCTCAGGCGCTGCCCCATGCGCTGCCCGCGGGCGCGGCCAGGGGCATGGCTCAGCACATGGCGCGAGTCCCGCCGGAGCAGTGAGCACGGGGAGGGTCCCCTGGTCGGCTCTGTGCGGGAGGAACTCGGCTTATTGCCCCTGCGTGCCCGGGGCTGCTGCTGTGGTTGCCGTAGCTGCTGCAGCTCTTTCCCAGGTGGCGGCGGCAGCTGGGGCGGCCGTACCTCTTGACATGTTGCCCACCAGAAGCCGCAACTGGAACGGAAAGTCAGGCAACGGGAACTGCTGGCCGACGCGCTGCTCTTTCGGTGCGAGGACGCTGCACCCCGCACCCTAGCCACGCTCGCAGGGGCGCACGGCCGCTCGCCGGGGCTAGCTCCTCGCGGTGGGGACTTAGGGAGCAGCCCCGGCACTCGCCCGCAAAGGCTGCGGAGGAGAACTGCGCAGGAAAAGCACCAGGCTAGGAGGTGGAGTGGGCGGGCCCGGCCTTCTGGAGTGACGGGCCGCTCTACCTATCAGAAACCGCGAGGAGTATGCAAATACCGGTTCTTCGACCTAGTCTAAAGAGCCAATCGTCTCACGGAACGTGGGGGTGTGGAAAGGGTTCCGGAAGGGGGGAGAACGGTCTGGGGTTACTACTGGCTGTAGGATGCAAGGGGCGGAATCAGGGAGGCGGAGCCAGCGACTGGTGACAGGAGCAGATGGTGAGAAGAGTGCCAGAGGGACGTGACACCCGGAGAAGTCCGACCCGGTAGAGCGGTGCGCTCCCGCACGCGGTGCGCTCCTGCACCCGTTTCTCCAGCCACCCTTGGCTGTAGTTGCCTGTATGCCAAGACTCGAGTCCCTAACCAGATGTTCCGCCTGCGACCTCCAAATGTGTGACTTGCAGAGCCGAGAGGGTGATGGAGGAGGGAAGGCAAGCAGGGATGCATCCAGTCCCTGAATCCAGTCCCACATAGCAGGCTCATGGGCGTGGGGAGGCTGAACACAACCGATTTAAGAAATTTAGGGGAAGGGGGTAAAATCTGCTTGGAAGTCTCTGGCAACTTTCCCCTCTGATCTTTCTTAATCTTTGTTGAAACCACCTCCCTGTGTCTATCAGTTATCAGATACGCAAAATCTGTCCTCAAGAAAAAAAAAATCTCGCGCCTCCAAACTGTCAGGATTAAGGGTGGGGAAGAGACTGGAGGGAATTGAGACCGAGAGACAGTCAGCTTAACTTCTTTTTAAGTCTCCTGGTTGAAACGTTAAGTCGCATGCAGGAAGTTTTATATGAATATGCCCTTCTTGGAGACAGTAGGTTTGAGAATAAGTTCTAAGTTCTCGTCTTGAATAATAAACATTAAAGTCAGCTTTCGCTTCTGTTTAGAACACAGTTTGGTTTCTGACTCGGGACACTCATTCTTTTGTGTTTTTCGCCAAGTTCTCTTTTTAAAAAAATCATGTTAATTTGGGGAAAATCCACGAGTAATAAGTGAGCAGTGATAATCCACTCAAAGAGGCTCTTTCTGGTTACGCACAATGACTGTCCAGGGATGCGGGCAGGGAAGAGGGTCTTCAAGAAACTGTCACCGCTGGCTGGTGGGAAGGTTCGGCGCGAGCAGGCTGCTGATTCTTGCCTGAGAGCTCGGTCCGGATTCTAAAGTTCACCCTGGAGGAACTTAGGTGCTTTTCCGTGCCTGCAACTCAGCCCCTACCGGAACCCCAGGCCTCCAAATTCCCTTTCACGGTTCCAGGACAGAATTTCCCTTCCGACCCGACCCCTGCGAGGCCCGGTGGGTAAGTGGTGCCCAGGAGGTGACTCAGAGCCACCGTGCGCGCAGCTTTTCACTGTGGGCGCGGGCGGGAGCTGTGGAACAGATCTGAGCGTAGGTCCCTCTCCGCTATTTGGGCACGAGCGAACATTCTCACTTCCGGACTAAAAGTCCGGAGTGCCCGCGGCCCCACCCTCACTTGGATTTCAAGCTGAGAAAGCCAATTTAAGTTTACCATCTCCACTTTGAAAGTGCATGGTAGTCAGAGCTAGGAGCTAGGCGAGTTCAGCAGAGCCCACCCACGTACCTCTGCTGTGCTCTGCGCCACCTCTAAGCAACCACTTTGGGCCCAAGACAATTTCCTACAGAATTGTTGAGAGGGACATATAATTTAATCGGAGGGCAGATTTTCTTCACTCTTGTTATCTCAGCTAAAACTTCCAATCTTTCCAGCTCTCGAGGAGATGTTTGTTCTTCGAAATGATTTAACACCGCCCTCATTTTTAATTCAATCATTTTAATATTAAATTATTTTAAACTATTAATATGGTGAACAAATATATTTTTGAGCACTAACCCGACTTTTTGTTTTGAGATCCGAGGGAGAAGTGTATGTTCAAATTCTCATTATTTCGAGGGGAGGAAGTTAATTTGAGAGTGGCGAGTCCTAGCTCATAAATGACTCTCTTCAGGTTTGACTGTGAATAAAAATGGTCCCTGTCCAGTGGGTCAGGAAAGGCCATTAAGAGAGCGATTACAAATCTTGGCCACCGGATATATTGGGGATTTCTTTTTCCGGGGGTGGATGGGTGGATAGGAGGAAGGCAGGGAGTGTGGGCGTCGGAAATTGCCGTGAGTGCAACGCAAAGCTGAGCACCCCCGGGGCTAAATCGGCGTCCGGCCCAGCCCGCGTCCACGTCCTACCACCCCACCGCCCAAAACAACTGTGGAGTTCTCTCTTTACGCGCCACCCAGGGGCCTCAGGCCTCCAAGGTCAGATAGTGGGCGGGGTCTGAGCCTCAGTTCCCGAACAAGTTCTGGGCTGTGACCCCACGCCTTGGTCCTTTTACCTGTGCATTGTCCCCCTGTGTCGCAACTCCTCCGAGTCGGGGGTTGGGCCTTAGCAGCTTTCCTCCGCGGTCATACACAGCAAATGTGGTGCCTGGGGTTCGACCCTGCCCGGAGATGGCAGCCAAGCTGACTGCGAGCCCAGCTGGATCCCTGCCCTTCTCTGTCACCCCTGAACCCCGGCCGCGCGCCACCACCAAAGCCGAAAGACAAGTTGGCTTTTTACAAACGTATCCACTTGAAGAAAATGTGCTAAAGAGAGAATTAAACTAAAGCACACCTGTAAGAGTTTGCGTTTTACTTGGTTTATTGGTGATTACCAAATGGGGGTGCACACACATGATGGTAGTGGAGGGTTGTAACCTGCGAGGCAGCCGCCGTCCATGCCCTCTTCCCCTAGGTCCTGTAGCTAAAATCTGTTGTGGCCCCCAAATTTCACATCTATACATGTTCTAGCTAGAGCTAAACGATACCGCAGGGCGTGCTCCTGAACTTCCATCCGAGGCTCGGGACTGCCGGCCCTAGCAGCTGCTCCTGCCAGCTCCCCCGGCGACGAGCCTCCTTCCTGGTCGCCGTCCCACCGCGGGCATTTCCTGGGCTGCCTGAACCGGTGGCCCAGAGCCCTAGTTCCTGCCACCGGAACCCTACGCTCAGCATCTCAGGCAGCCGGCCGGTCGGTCTCCAGGGGCCTAGCAGCTGCGAGCCGGCTCCGCCCTCCGCGATGGACCCGAGGGAGGGGCGGGGGCGTGGTCACTGCGGTTCCCCTGCCCGACCGCCAGGGAGCGCTCTGGCCCGCGCCGCGCTGCCGCCGGACAAGGCCAGGAACAGGCGCGCTGGAAGCCTCAGTGACCACCTGGTTTTCCCCTCGGCTTTTCCTTGGCTTAGACTCTGCTTGCGGCTGCTGGGGCCTCCTGGGTGTCACAAGCGCCCAGGTCCCTCCCCTTCTCCGGAAGTCCAAGAGCACCACTGGCCAGAGGCCAAGCAGAAGGGACTCTGGAGTGAGGAATTCCCTGAGTGGCTGGAGGGTCCCTCCAAGAGGGAAGAAAGGCCATGGGCCGCGACGTCCCCAGTGCGTGGAGGACGCACGTCATCCCCAGTAGGCTGGATTCTGCCACTAAATGCAGCGCACGATCGTTTAGGGGACCCAGCTACAAGCCTCACAAGGGAAATTCATGTTTTTCATTTTGTAAGTAAAAGAAGCTTAATGCCCTCGTTGGCTTGGTGTTTTATGCCATGAGGGCTAACATGGTGCACTGGTTCTGCAACCTTTTCTCCACTGTGCAGGGTCAGGGTTCCTGCACTTCCTGGAGACCTGGGCAGGGGATGGAAGATGGAGGAGGCCCAGGCAAACCTAGCACTGGATGCTTGGCTGCCCTGGAAGTCACTGTTCGTGTCAGCAGGTTTTATCCCCATAGCCTGGCTGTGGGGTCACCAGGTTCCTCCAGGAGACATGTCCTTTGTATGGTCAAGTTTCCCAATTGGGAGGTACAATTTTTCCCTTCCAGGACCCTAGCCTATGTGTCCCCAGACCTGTATTGCTTTTTGTTTGTTTTTGGTTTTCTTTTTTTAAGACTGGGTCTCCCTGTAGTACCTTCTGGCTAGAACACACTATGTAGACCAGGTTGTCCTCGATCTCATAGAGATCTGCCTGCCTCTGCCTTCTGAGTGCTGGGATTAAAGGCGTGCATCACGGCAACCCGCTTGCATTACTTTTCTTAATCTGTCTCTTGTTTCCTGGCTGAGTGACTTTGGACAAGCCATGCAACCTTTCTGAGCTTTGGTACTGCTGGTGCTCTGTCTTCCTCTCCTACAAATGCCCCTGATGCCTCTCCTAAGCCTAGCAGTGGAAATCTTCCAGCCAATTCTGTCTTCAACTCTCCCAGCTAAGCGGCTACACTAGACAAATGACAGAATGGACTGGCGCTTAATTTTCCCACTACAAACTTCCTATGGGGGCATAAAGTTGTGCTGCAATCCTACTAAGTGCCTCCTGGACACACTCAATTCCCACAGTGTCTAAAACACGTGTTTCTTAACTCTCCAAGGCATCATTTCATTAGGAACACAGCCTGCAGGGCATTGAGCACACCTTGACCCACTACCCTCTAACAGTTTTCCTCCCTCCTGTCACAGCTGAGGAAGCAACAGGCTCACTGGGACAGGGAAGCAACTCCAGCAGTGCTCTAGACCTCACCCTTCATCACCTCCACAGATGCCTCTTTCTCACAGTCCCAGCTGCCAGCATGCTATCCACTCATCTGTCCTCCCTGGTTACAGTCTGCAGAGCGCATGAGGGCTGAAGGGAAGGTCCTCCCAGGGCAACCCCTGACACTGACGGACAGAACAGCTGTCTAGCGCCATAGCTTCCTGAGGGGTTGGGGAAGGATGAAGTTGTGGGCCTATGTCGCAGCTGGACTTCTGCCCCTGCCCATGCCTGCTTCCTAGTCCCTCTGCAGGCAGAGGCCCCAAGGCATGCCTCTTACGCTCCCTGCACACCTGTGCCCCCTCTTCTCTGGTATGGTTCCTATCAGCACGGTCCTGTTCTTCTTCATAGCAACATCTGTGTATGGCTTCCATCCTCTTTTCCGTTACTTTCTTTTCATTGAGTTACTTTTATTTATGAAGGTTAGGAAATTATATAGCCTCTGAAAAAGTCAAAATTATCAGAAATATAGACTATGTCTCAAGTCAAAACTTGAGTCTCTCCAGACACAACCACTGTTGCTAGGGATAGTATGCAAATACAAGCAAAAAGTATACATTGCACAACTTCAATTTTTTATGTTTATTTTATGTGTGTCTGTGTTTTGCCTGCATGAATGTAAGTGTACCTGTGTTTCCAATGCCCTCGGATGCCAAAAGAGGGCATTGGATCCCCTGGAACTGGAGTTACAGATGATTGTTAGCTGCCATGTAGGTTCTGGGAACTGAACCAAGGTCCTCTGCGAGAGCAATCAATGCTCTTAACTGCTGGCTGAGCCATTTCTCCAGCCCCCCGCACTTCATTTTTAAAAGGATTAAGTAGCAACTCCACCTTGACATGAATGACTGTACTCTATCAATGTGTATGTGTAACAGTAACTTCAGTGCTACCTCATTGATGAGGTAATACTGATAGGCTACCAACTGAAGTCCATAGTTTCCATTAGGCTTCAACCTTAGTGTTGTTCACCCTCTGGGTTTTTGACAAACAATAATGACAAGACTTCCTTTTCCCTAGAAGCCCTGCACCCTGGCTTCTTGCCCCTCCTTCCCTACTACCCACTGATCTCTTCAATGTCTCTGCAGTTCTACTTATCCAGATGTGGCTTTAGGGGCCTCAGTGTTTTCCTGAACATCAACAGCCAACACAATGACAGTGAAGTGGCACAGACTTAGAAGCCGTTAGAACTGCAAGGCTCCATCCTCACGAACAGGACTGGTGCCCTGGTGACAAGGCTCCACAGAAAGTTCATCCTTTTTGTCTCCTCCATCTGTT